GGATTTTGGGGGGTCGTGTGTCCCCCCCTCCCCTGCTGTCACTCTGCCTCCGCCCGGCTGCTCCCAGTGATCCCAGTAAAGCTTCCCAGTTCTCCCCAGTCCTGGTTATTGGGGGGTACTGGGGAAGAAGCTTGGGGAAATCCCAAGGAGTGGAGCCAAGTTTGGGGGGCCAGAACCGGCCCAGGATGGATCAGGATTTAGGACCCCTCTCTGTCCCCCCTGTGTCAACTCACTCTGGAGGGGCTTTGAGAGGGCACCTGCCCCTCAATAAAGCACCCAGCTCACACCAAAAGGTGCTGGGAACTTCCCCAAAGCCTCCCCACAGCCCCCTAAGGACCCCCAAACACACTCAGAGCCCACCCAGGACCCCCCCCAACCCCTTTTCTGGGGGGACTTCTCTGGACACTGGTGGGTGAGGAGTGAGGAGCTCTCAGGTGAGTGGGGGGTGGGAAGGGGGAGGTCGGTGGGAAAAGAGGGGTCAGAGGGGATAAAGGAGTGGTGGGACCCCAAACTAAGTAGGAGGGAAGTGGGACCCCCAAAAGTGGAGGGGGAAGAGCACTGAGGTTTGGGGGATGATGGGAAATGGGTGGGAGAGGTCAGAAGAGTGGAGAAAGGGGAGGGTGGGACCCCCAAACTGAGCATGAGCATGGCTGGGGAGTGGGGGGTGATTTGGAAGGGATAGGAGAGGGGGGAAAAAAGTGGGGGTTGGGACCCCCAGAGTCATCCTGAGGGGAGCTGGGGAATGAGGGGACCACGGAAAAGCGGGAGGAACAGGGAGAAGGGTGGAAAAGGGGGAGTGGTCTGGAGGGTCCAACAGTCCCATGGGGGTCTTTGGGCACCAGATTTTGGGAAAGGGGGGTGGCCCCCCTGAGCTCCCAATTTACTGTGGGGTGCTGGGGGCTGCTGGATCCAATCTCAGCCTTGGATCATGCCAACAGTTTCAGTTTAGAGGAATTACAGAGGTGTGACTGAACTTTCGTCCCTGAAATTTTAAGGATGGCAAAACAGATCCATGGATAGAAATGAATTTATTTAGGGTTACAAATGATCAGACGAAAGATCTTCATCAGAATTATTTACTGCACAATAGAATCACTAAAACTACCAGGAATACAGGATAAGATAGGACAGTGCTCTACACTAAAGCAATTGTTGAAGCAATTCTACTCAAGCTGGCACAAAAGCAATTAGAGTTGTATGGAACTCCCCCAGACCAACGCTGGTGGGGAGATCTCTGCTCTCAACCTCCAGGAGTGACCTTGGGAGGTCCCCAGCCAAGGCAGGAATCTCCATACAACCACCAAGAAGGTTTCTGTTGGAAGAAGCTGCCCCTGTGAAAGGGGACTGGCCCTTTGTGGTCGAAAGGGATGGAGTGACAGTCACTGGACTCCAGGGGTTGCCTCAGCATCAGGGGGTTCATTCGGGGTGGAAGCAGCGGCCAAAGCTCTTCCCACAGTCGGGGCACTTGCAGGGTTTCCCTTACTGGTGGGTCCATTGGTGTCTGGTCAAGTGTCCACTCTGGGCAAAGCTCTTCCCACACTCCCCACACGTGTAAGGCTGTTCCCCAGTGTGGATGTGCTTGTGGGTGAGGAGGCTGGAGCTCTGCCTGAAGCTCTTCCCACATTCCAAGCATTTGAAGGGCTTCTCCCTGCTGGGAGGCTGCTCAGGGACCACCAGCTCAGAGCTCCGCCTCAAGCTCCAGCCGCGTTCCCGGCACAGGCTGGCTCTTTCCTCCTCGGAGCACCCTGGGCTGGCTTTGGAGCCCCCCCTGCGGGGGGATCTCCGGCCCTTTTCCTCCCCGCTGCCTTCCTGCGCCGGGGAGCCCTTCAAAACGGCCTCTCCCACCAGGCTCTGCCGGGGGGATTTGTCCTCCGGGCTCTCCGTCCTCAGCTCAGGGCCTGGGGCAGGAAGCAAGAAGGACAGGGAGGGGAAGGGAA